CCCGGCCTTAGATTCCGGCTGGCCCCGCCGCATAGCGGTCCTTGCCTCCACCGTAATCCTCGCCGTCTTGAACTACATCGGACTCACAATCGTCGGTTACTTCGCCGTCGTTCTAGCCTTYCTATCGCTCTTGCCCTTCGTCTTAATGACCCTAATCGCCATCCCCAAAATCCAGCCCCACCGGTGGCTCAGTTTGGGCGACAATGGTGTCAAAAAGGATTGGAATCTTTACCTCAACACTCTGTTTTGGAACCTTAATTTCTGGGATAACGTCAGTACTCTCGCCGGAGAAGTCGAAAAGCCCCAAAAAACGTTCCCTAGGGCTCTGTTTGTGTCGGTGATTTTCACTTGCCTGTCTTATTTAATCCCGCTTCTGGCGGTGACCGGCGCGGTTTCCGTAGAACAATCCGCTTGGGGATCGGGATTCCACGCGCAGGCGGCSGAGATAATCGCCGGGAAATGGCTGAAAATCCTCCTGGAAATCGGGGCCGTGCTGTCGGCGATTGGGCTTTTCGAGGCCCAGTTGAGCAGCAGCGCGTACCAGATTCTGGGAATGGCGGAGATTGGGATTTTGCCCAAATTCTTCGCGTCTAGGGCAAAGTGGTTCAACACGCCCTGGATTGGGATCGTGATCTGTACGGCGATCTCGGTTGCGATTTCGTACTTGGACTTCACGGACATCGTTGCGTCGGCGAATTTGGTGTATAGCATGGGGATGTTGCTGGAGTTTTCGGCGTTTATTTGGCTGAGATGGCGGTGGGCCGCCATGGAAAGGCCGTTCAAGGTTCCGATGAAGCTGCCGGGGCTGATTGTGATGTGTTTGGTTCCGTCGGCGTTTCTGGTGGCGCTGATGGTTTTTACTCACAGGACTGTGTTCTTGATAGGCGCCGGCATGACGGCGGCGGGGATTCTGTGGTTCGGTTTGATGAGTATTTGTAAGAAGAAGAAGATTTTGGAGTTCAATCCTCGCCCGGAAGCCATTGAAGGATCTTGAAATTTTGATTATCATGGAGTTATATGTATTGTTTAGTATTGCTGTGAGACAGAACTCAAAAACTGTAGATATTTTAGTTAGCCAACGACTCAATGGCTCAATGCAATTCAATTTATTAAAGGAATTATTTCAGATTGCTGAGTTTTTTTTTCTCCTTCGTTCCTTCCTCTTTTAATAATTGTTTAATAGAATTATTTGTTAGTAATATAAATTTTGAGCCTATGTTCAACGTTGGCTTATAATTATTCATATTTTGAGAATTTATTGAGGTAGTTACTACAAAACGTGTAAATATCGAGATCTCAATTTTACGATTTTACGGAGATAGATGTTAACACATATTTCAAAAAAATCATGAAAATTATAGAGATTGATCTAACTTTTTTGAATTAATAAACAAGTGAAAATGTTTTGAATTAATAAATTAAAATTTAGTTGCTTCATGATATAAATAATGAAATAATATTTCAAATTTTCTATTTAGTTTAAATTTTAAATGTTTAATAATATTCATTTGATTTTGTTTTAAGATTTTGTTAGTTAAATTTAATTTAAAGTTTTTTAATTTATTTTTTTTTATAATCAATTCATTCAAGATTTTGTTATATTTTTTATAGTTAAATTTAATTTAAATTTTGTTTTTTTAAATCAATTTTTTATAACCCCTTTCATTAAGAATTTGTTACATTTTTTATAGTTAAATTTAATTAAAGTTTTTTAATAATAGATTTCTTAATTTGTTTTAAGATTTTTTTAGTTAAATTAATTTGAAGTTTGTTTTTTAAAAAATAATAAGAAAATCTTGAGAGTTCCAAAAATGCCAATTCTTTTTCTTCGTTCCCTTCTCGAGCCTGCCATTGAGATGAACCTCACTCTGCCTCGAAGGTTTCTGTTGCAAAAATTGACATTGAAAATGTAGATGTCGGTGGACATAGTACAAATTTGATATGCTTTTTTGAAGTTAAAAATAAATAAGTGAAAATTAGTTAAAGTGTTTCATCTAAAACTATGATACCAATATAGTTAAAAACAAAATTACTTTTAATAATCTCCAAGTACGTTTTAAGAGGAGACTTTTTTATATTTTATTAAAAGAGACAAATTTAAGAGGTAATTCAAATACAAACTTAGTTTTTAGTGATCAATACAGTTAATAAGGAAAATGCAATTTATTGTGTATTTGGAATAATGACTAATAAAAAACACACTTTTTAAACAAAATTAATTTTTCTAAAGATACCTTTAAAATATTATTAATTTAGATTGTGCGTAACATAAATTTGTGAGTGATTTTAGACAATTATATAACCCATGTAGTAATAGAAAACAATTTAAAAGACCATATCATTAGAAATAATGAAAATTATAATATTATGAGTCATTTTAAACTATTAAATTTCACAATTGAAAGAARWMTTYGYSGARC